CAGTTTGGTTTGCCTTCACCTGAAACTTCACATGCATCATCAGTTGCATTTTCTTCTGGGCACGTTCAGGAATGCTGCTGGTTTCTATGGTCTGTACCATATTTAAACATAATTTACATGCATCAGCAGGCTCTGAAGCAATGCAGCTGGTGCTGGCATGACAGGGTGAGAGGCTTAATGGTCATTTGAAGAGTGGCATATTTTTCAAGTGAGCTTGGAGCCAGGACTGAAAACTCAAGTCAGTGGTCAACTGGTAAGAAAATAACCTAATGTTTTCAAGGAGCTCAAGCAAGTTAGGGCACCCATGGAAATAAGATGTGTTAATAAATTTGTTTTTCTTTTAGTCTTAACACTGAGTTTGTTGTTGCTACTTCCCTGTAGCCCCTAATGGACTAAGCTTAGAGGGTGCAGAAGGTGGTGTCTGTTGAGAAACTGAGGGCTCGACTGTCGAGAAGAGAGTTAAAGGACAGATGATAACAAGCACCAGAAGTCAAGGTTAATAAGCAACCCAAATGGCTTTACACATGTTTTGCCTGTAACATGTCCAAAATGCTAGGAGACAGCATTGCCAGTGGCTGTTAAAAGGCAAAGCAATATATAATATAGTATGTATAATTTAGTGTAACATAATACTAAATAATACAGCCGGCAGAGCTGGTAAAGCTTTAGGAATACAGCTGAAAAGTGAGAAATGAGTTAATAACACTTGAGGTGTAAGAGTCCTGAGCAGAACATAATGAGCTACCCTGTTCCAGGAGGTGCCAGGGAGAGGCACTGATTGCTGCAGAGCAGGATCAGGCCTGTGGAGCAGAGGATTGCTAGCTACAAATGCTCCTTTACTAACTTGCCAGAAGCTAAAACCTGGTTGTCTGTGACCATGAGATCACAGCAGCCCACTCTGCAAAAATATTTGATGTGTTACAGAATACATAACGTTGTGCTTTCTTTAGGGAAAGAAATTAAATTTGTCCTGCGTACTCACTCCTGCTACTACTCAGCATTCAGTCTGGGAGAGATTGCAGCTAACTGGCTTTGACTTTTTTCTTTGCAGGGGTTTATTTACCTTTTTTCTTTTTTTTATTTTTCTTTGCTTGCAGGCTATTTCATGTACTCTTGGCCTGTTTGACAGGTCGCTTTCCCAAGCACAACTTCAGCTATTTCTGAAATCTGTTAATCCTTAGTTTGTAGTGCTGCAATCTGAACTCTGGCTGTGACTCAACAATTGTTATCCACTCCACTTGTGTCCATGTAATGCACCCTACTTGGTTGCTACAGGCTACTTTTTGTTCCTTTGCAGAGCACTTCAGGTTTGGGAAGGTAGGCACAGCAACAAACTCAGTGCGTGGGCTCCCAGACTGACCAGTGATGTTCTTGCACCACATCTGCACCAGACTGGGGAAATTTTCTGGCTTCTGTATCCCCTTTTAATGCCTTTTGGCAGAACCTTTCAGATAATTCTGGCATAGCTAAAATCAACACTGAACAGCCTGTTTGGACTGAGCCGGTGGATGTAAAATGTCTTTGGCTGATGAAATTGCCCTTTCCTTCTTGCCCACCAAAAGCGTGTTAAAACCTCTTGCCTGTTCACTTGTCAAGTCTGGAAGAGCTTCTCATTGGAGAAGTTAATCTTTGTTTTGTCAGGCGTTAGCTGACAAGAATTCCCTGGTTCCCTGGGACTGGAAGCCTTTGGCAGCTAAAAATTCAGGCCTGCTCCACCTGTGGGCCACGCAGCTGTCACCGTGGCTTTACAAGGGGCTTTATGCCTGCGCCGATTTGAGCTCCTGCAAGAGGACCTGATGATAAATCCTCATTAAACTAAGAACTTTCTTTGATCCCATCATTCATGGTCCCAAAGAAAATATGGTGGGGTAAAGAGGGATATTGAGGAGTGCTGCCAGGATACAGCTGGCATGACTCTGAGGCATGGACGGCTCACGTGGCTGGCTGATGTGAGCAACTTTCTCCTTTTTTTCCTTTTCTTCATCTAGTAGTGCCTTATTACGGAGCTTCCCAACCTTGAAAATGTAGTTCAGTCTTCTGTGTTCCTCAAGGACAAAGAGGCAAAAGGGAGTGCAGGGGACTGCCTCACGCTAGCTCAGTTTTACCTTCTGCTGCAGGTGGAATTTGTTTGTAAGCTCAACATTTGAAATGCCCCCCGGTGCTTGTCTGTGAGGTGTTATGGTGCTCTCACAAGTTCTCCTGGGAGCCAAGGAAGGCTCCGGCAGAAACTGGCAATGATTTAGTTTAAAAAAAATAATAATAATGGTTTTGCAACTCGCATTACATCACTCTTTCCAATTATAGTAACTTTCATAACAAGGTAATAACTCCATGTAATAGTCTGTGTATGTTGTTTGTTACTACTACTCCTTTCTTGAGATGCGGGTTATGCGGATACTCTACATCTGAAAGTTATGAACCATCTGTCTAGCAAGGTAGGGCTATAAAATATTCTTAGCTTAAGTGCTTTTTTTGTTTGTTTGTTTGTTTTTTTACAAGTATCTTCAAAAAATATCCACTAGGTGAAGCTGTGTGGAGTAAGCGTGCTTTGTTGAATTCCAGCTGATGATATCTTCTGTGGAAATTTTGTTTGAAGTCAGTTTCATATTCCTCACTTGACACAAGGTTTCGGTAGAGGAAGCATTTTTTTTTTTATCTTCCTTTATCTAGAAGGAAGGGAGGGAGGACAAGACCGTGAAAATGCAAAGTTTCTCATAATCCAAATGTCCTTTCTGTTAGAGGCTATGCTTCTGCATGTGGGCCTCAGCAATTCCAGAGGAGAGCAGGTCATCCTTTACGGTCAGTAGTGAGGAGGAGCTCCTTTTATCTTTCCCCTGAGCGGAACATCTCAAAACCAGGGCTTTTTGTCAGCAGTTTGGCTGCGGCAGCTTGATTATCTACACGGCGCGAGTTGCTGGGAAATGTCACTTCGTGACAGGTTAAATGTTATAACCTCCTGTAAGCTATGTATGTAACAGGGCACTTTACAGTCTGGCTGTGCAATGCTGAGCTGTTCTCCGTGTAACATACGTTGAACATTAACTACTATTTGGGTACAGAAGGTGGAGGGTACACTCTGGTTTCTATTGGGCGTGGGGCATTTTAAGGCAAACATACGGGTAGCTAATGCCATAGAGCAAGCAACCGGGAGTAGTGATCATAAGGCATCAAATCCGTATATCCCCTGTTCTGTGATTTCCTCGTGTCTTGCATTTTTTATTGCTTCAGAGGGTTTCCTTCTCCCTCATTTGAGTAGAATCAGTCTTAATTCTGTTGTCCTTTGGCATCTTTTAACAAGAGCTGAATTTACCTTGTATGAGAAAACATTCTGGATATTTTTTTTAAATAAAAATATCAATTTAATAAAAAAGCAAGTGGTTTATAACACTGATTGGACATCGAAAATTCCTTAGCTTCCTAGCCATATACTGCTTTAAGAAGCTGTCATCTTGTCTGCCTCCAGTGGTTTCTTGAACTTTGACTAAGACTGTCTATTACTGACCTCCTGCTCCCCGTGCCCTAAAATAATAAACCGGTATCTTCTGATGATGGCTTAATGCTTGTCTAAGTTTTTATGCAACTTTAATGGCACCCCTAATGCTCTTCCTGAAATGAGAACCTTATCGATTTGATTTCTGTGTTCTACACTGTTAGTCCAAATGAGTTGCTACTTAGGTGTAATTAATAAATTTTATTTAAGCTTGATTGACCTCAGAAAAAAATAGAGCTGAAACTCTTCGTTTTGTCTCTCACTGGAGAAGATAGATTCTAGATAGTCTGGAAGCCTGAACAGGAGTTTCTTTGTGTTATGATTAATGCTGCTACTGCAGAGAAGGCCAAATTAAAGAAACTGGAAGTTATATAGATCTCAGCTGAAATTGGTAAATTCTGCTAGGATTTGGGATGAAGTGGGAATGCCTAATAAGTTAGAGCATTAATAAAAATTAATAAAAAAATCCTCAAAGCGGAAGGAGGAACAGCAGGCAGAGAATTGTTTCCAGACCTGTGTGCTGTACATTCCTGTATAAAATAGAGCTGTAGCTTCTGTCTCCTTCTGGGGTTTATGTTAATCTCATTCATAGCTGAGGTTTTTTTGTTGTTTTTTTTTTTCCCCCCCTCAGGAATTTGTAAACTTCTTTTCCTGCGTAACACAACAGGGCTTGCAGAAAAATTAGCTTGCTATACTCTCTTCCTCCTACCCACCTGTAACCTCCATGCTCCACTTCTTCTAGCATTGAAAATTGAAGCACTGGGTGCTTCAATTCTGTACTCTGAACAAGTAGATGTGCAGATTGCAGGTGAGCTTTAAGATCAGCTTACTTTCTTACTAGTACCATAGTCTATGATTTGGGTTAGCTTCAGTTTCCGTGCCTGTGTGTTACAAGTGTCATGCTAAATAAAACCAAAAAGCTATAATTCTTTGCTCCATTTGAAGGCTATAAATGCGATTGCAATTAGCAACGTGATTGAAGGATTCTTATTAAATCCCATTAATTTCCCTCGTGGTGCTCTTTAAGTATTCAAGCTGTCCAGAATGTATTTTGCAGCTGAAGTGGTGGTATGTGGCACTGCATGACTACAGTCAACATCTGATAACAGCCAGCAGATTTCGGGCAGTGTGTCAAGCAAGTGTTTAGTGGAGAATTTGGCTTCCTGGGTTATTTTTTGCTCCATAATTTGAAAGACTAAACGTCCTGTAAGTGTTCTGTTTCTCTCCTGTACTCTGAGTTACAGTGAACTTTGACTGTTTTCTTTGAGAATCAAGTCGGATGCTGTTGGAATAGCGGCAGATGAAACATGTCACTTATTTCTTGGGGGTAAAAAAAGTCCATGTGGTTCTTCAGAATACATAGGATTACTATTTAGATAACTATTTTCCATTGTGCAATGCTTCTCCCCATATTTAAACTTAAACCACAACAAAAATCCCACACACCTGTTTCCCCAATACACACAGTTACAAAACAAACAAACCAAAAACACTTTCTTTTCTGTTACAGAAACATGCGAAGGGACAGGAGCTATTTGACCAGATTGTATATCATTTGGACCTTGTGGAAACTGATTACTTTGGCCTACAGTTCATGGATGCCTCCCAGATTACAGTAAGTATAAATTTAGTTATTTTTTATGTTCTGCGGTAGGTTGTGTTGCGTATTCTAAAAGTGTTCTCAGTGCAGTTTCACAGAGATGTGTAGGCATTAGGGGATATACTGCTGAAACAACTGATGTTGTGTGTGGATATTGCAAATAAAACTAAACCCTCAAAGTTAGGCATATGTCATTTTGTGATACGTGCATGATGACTTCATCATGCGAAGTATGAAAAAGCAACGATGGTGGGTAAAGGAAAACGTGCTTCATTTAGTAGCCTCGTGGTATTATAAATGAATTAAATACCTTACAAGCAAAGGTTTAGTACTACTCCTATCCTAGCTGTTCCATGCAAAGATTGTGTTGCTCTGTAAACTGTTTGCGATAGGAGAGAAAAGCTTTCCTTCTGTTCCCTATCCAGAGAGAAAAGCTTTCCTTCTGTTCCCTATCCAGTGATGCCCACCATCTAGGTAAAAGGAGGGGTGGGAAGTACAGTATTTAAAATGCAGAGAGATTAGGTTAAAGGACCGCAACTTTACATAAACTGTATTGCTATAAATTATTTTCTTCATTCACCTTACGTGCTGAGGTATCGGTGTGAGTACAGCCTGGATTGTGGATAGAGAGTATGCAGACTTGGAAAATGTGTTTGCTTTTAGGTTATCTGGTTAGTATGTAAACATTTTTCAGAAAGCAAGAGAATAAAGATGTATTCTGTGACATTAAAACAAAAGAATGGGATAACAGCAGAAACATTGACATCTTGTTAAAAGCAGGTTTTAACTGTTATTGTCTCAGAATTCTTGGCTTTATTCTCTAACAAGCATGGGTCAATGTGATTCAATTAGATCAGTGTTTTACCAACTGCACTGTCATGGTCTGGGTGTGAACCAACAGCTTTGAGCAACAAATAGCAAATTTGTCTGGATACAATAATGAATTGATACTGAGAAAGGGAATCTGTGCTTTTGGGGAAGAAGTTAGTAGATTAACTGTATAAAAATAACCTAATATCCCAGTTAATTTAAGGGTGTATGTATTTTTCACTGGAAAATGATTTCTGAATGAAGTATGTCCATAATGGGATGGAGGTTCTTAGTCAGTTTGTGCACCTGTGTTCCTCAAAAAATGTGTGTTACATGAAATGTATAGCCTTTTGTGATGGAGCTGATCATTAGGACACAGCTAACAGAGCAGTGCCTGCTCATTAGAAGAGAAAAGGGTGACATTGTAGCTGACTGTCAAATCACGTAATTGGGAACTTGATTGTTTAGAGTAGTTACCTACATGTATAAGGAGTTCAGTAATGTTTGGGAAGAAATAAAGGTGAAAGGGAGAGCTAAACATCTTTTCCTAGCAAGAAAGAGAGCAGACTAGAGCCCGAAGACCTGGCTGAAGAAGTGAAAAATGCTTTTTCTTGAATATTCGCAAAACTGGAGGCTCTTTTGAATGGTAAGAAGGAAGAAGCAGAAATGTGAACAAGTATTCTCTTCCATAGATAGCTCTATCCCTGGTGTTCAGTGCTAAGTGTGCCTGTGCGTGCAAGTGTTTTAGTACTCAGCTTTGTCTGTGTGTTCTTTCTTTCAGTCATCAGGTTGGGGTGGGGATGTAGAAGTAAATCATGACATCTACTGTTACAGAAGGATAAGAGCTACGACCAGCTTTTAGGGACATGAAAAAGCCAACAGTGTTTGCAGGGCTTTGGGTTATGTTTTCCTGGATCCGGATGGGTGATAAGGTCATCACCTCCACAAGTGCAAGGCTTGAAGCTCTCATTTGTTTTGGGGTTTTGCCTGGCTGAAGCTGAGCAGAGTGTAGAGCTTATAGGGATTCAAGGCAAAAGCTTCTATCGTCCCCAGCACTCTGTACAAAGAGGTTCCATGCTTTTAAAAGCTTGGTCTGTTTTGAACTTGTGACCTGCTCACTTCATTTGCATAGCAATTAATGCATAGCCTTCGTGTGCCTCCACTTAGTGCCAGCCAAGCCACACAGTGGCAATTGCAAGACTGGGAGATTAAAGTTGTGTAAACTCCTGGAGGCTCTAAGGCTTTGTCTTTATTATGTATTGTTGAGTGCTAAACATCTTTAAGCCACCATTGTAAGAAAGAGAACACAGAACGGCCTTTGAATGGTGGAGATTGCTGCTGTGCTCCAAGGCCAACAGCCTTTCAGTGCCCTGTGTTTCTTAGTAACTTTGCCAACAAGTCAGACCAAGCAGTGTTGATAACTGATTTGGAAAAGAAAATCATTATTAGAGCTTGTCTGCTTAAAAAAAGTGGGGGGAAACTCTTATGTTTGAACAGCTTATTTTTAATGAATAAAAATAACACCTTCAATACAACCAAAAGAAGACATGAAGTTGGGAAAGGCAAGATGTCAGCAGTAAGAAAATACTCTACAGCCTATTCAGTGACTTTTGCATTAGTTTGTATCCTGTGCTTTTTGAAGATATCCATGAATAGAAGCATGGAGAGAATCATCCCATCTAAAGAGCTGTGAAAGGTTTTATTCTAAAGCAAATCTTTGTGTACTGCTGAATTAAAGTTACCTGGTGTTAACTCCAGAAGCAGAAATACTCGGGGAGGAGAGGGGTTGTTAAGTGCTGTTAGTGTGTGGGAAAACTTCATGTAGCAGAAAGTCTTTATTAATAAATAAAGTGAGAAATTTTAAAACATGACACGGGTGCATTGCCTGCTGATGTCCACTACCTTGACTGATTACAATTTATAAGTTGTAATGAAGAACTAAACGGCACCATACTGTAGTTGCATTACAATGGCTTTAAACCAACTCTTTCCTACCAAATTCAGTAACATAACTCCCGAGACGTAGTGCTCTGCAGCCCTTCTAGTGGTCAGATGGGAGATAACTTGCTGTTCTCGGGTCCTCTAGGCCATCTCCAAAGTGGGATGCTCAGGAGATGACCCATTGGGGGGTGGAAAGAAAATATTGGAACTGCTATTTATATTTCTCAAAGAAATTAAACTTTATTAACATCTCATATGCGTCTTGACAGTGGCACGCTCGCTCAGTCCATATGTAGTTGGAGTGGTTGAAGGGTGTCACTCAAATGTAGAAGGTCTCTGTAATGGTTTAGTGGAAAAGTTTATTGGGTTTTCAATTACTTTTAGTGGGGAGGGTTCTAACAAAGCAAGAAGGCTTGAAAGCTTGATTCAAGGCTGGAAATAGCAATAGCAAAATCTCGTGAGATCTTACTACAGAAGTAGAGTTGCCATGAGGAAGTGGTTTATTGATTTACTTTTTTTCCAGAAACTGGTCATGTGAAACACATTCCGTGGTTGTTTTGGGTTCCTGACATTTATTTTAGATTGCTGCTAGCTAATATTTATTCATTTCATGTTCAGGCTTGTTCTTTCTTTGTCTCTTACTCCAAATTATCATAAGAAAAAGAGCTTCTGGGTGGTTTACCACTCCGTGTGAGCTGCACCATATTGTGAGGTTCTCCCAGGATACAGATCTCTCTGCTCCTGTAGTTGCATTCTTAGTCCTTGTCTGTCCCGTGATGGCAAAACATGGATGCCCTCCCTGTGTGTTACAGGAAATCCAACAGAAGGATGGCTATTGTTGATTAGCCTGGAATCTCCTTCTGTTTCCCTCCTGCTCCTTTTTCTGATGACAAGAACATCTGTAGAGTAATTGAGGAGGAAGAAAAATGATACACCTTTAAACATTGTTCATTATTTCCAAGTGGGCTGCTGTAATCCTTGAGGTGTGAAACTTGAGTTGGGAGTGAACAGAAGCAAAAGCATTAAAATACCTTTTCCTAAAGTATCTCTAAGTGAACATTTAACTCCTTTATGTCCAGTCTCTAACATCACAATGACCCCTTGTCCTTGGCTTAAGGATGGGTGGTACGGGACAGCCTTTCCCAGCTGGGTGCGTATGTATCACAGTCTGTGGGCACTCCATGGTGAGCACATGCTCACACACAGTGTGTCTGGCACACTGGGCAGTGCTGGATTTACGACGTGTGCAGCAAGACTTTTGCAAGGACAGCCTGTGCCTCCTGCAGGTGCTCGTGGCTACGAGGCAGGACAGAGCCCCTTGAAGAGGTGAGAGCCAGGGCTGCATGGCAATGAGCTGTCCTGGCAGGCTGCACTGTTTTCTGAATATCGACTTGTTCCTAAATAGGATTTCGATTCATTTACAGTGAGAGGTGAGAAGGCAGCGGAGGGAGGAGATGGAGAAGAGTGGCCCTGATGAAAGCAGTATTCCAAGTAAGACAGTGGAAGGAAAAGAAGGGGCAAGGACTGTATAGCCCAGACTGGCTCTAACCACCAACAGTGAGTTAGGACCCGCTGATCCAGACACTGAGATCCTCATCTGTATAGATGCTCTGGAGTCCTGAGTCTTCTGGGAGGGTCAGGAGCATGTATGCTTCACCATACAATTTTTCAACACTGCAGTGTGAGAATAAAGCAAGTTGGACAACAACAAATAATATCTCAATGCCTTTGTTTTCTGCGTTTCACTGTGAACTAGGCTCCTGGATGTTTCAGCAGCCTTCGGCTCAGAGCCCTGGAGATACTAGGTGCATCGTGGCTACTTCTGCTGTGTATAAATTTTAATTAAAGTTTTTGTTGTCATTCAAATCAGGAGGGTTTTTTTTTTTCAATTGCTTGCTTTTGATATTAACACTATTATTTTTTTTTCAAGTGTCTGAGGGACGTTAGGAGAAAAGAGCAACTCAAACTCCAATTAACCTCAGCGTGCTATCTGGGAGCCTTTTCCTTATGTACTGCTTAACAGTGTAACTGACTCTGTGTTAAGCAGGGGAAAAAAAAATAGGAGAAGCCTCAGCGTTCAATACATTGAATATTGGGAGAAAGCGAGACTGGTAAATACTTCAGTAATGCAGAAGGTTTCCTTCTCTGCTTCTGTCATAAACATCCCATTTCTCCTTGAATAAGCTATCAAATTAATCCGTGACTGTTTCCTCTCCCTGAATCTCTTGTTCCTCTGGATTATGAGCTCTTTGGGACTGGTGGCT